TATTCTTCCTCGATACAAACTTTTAGTATACAGTAATTCCACAATCAGTACGTTTCTCGTTACTTTAAACTTAACAGTTTTATAATACATGCTATACACCACAGCGATTCACAATTATACTCGCTCTTGACGAGTGCAAAACACACACTTTACGGCTCACTATCTCGAAAGTAACAGAATCATAAATTACACAGAACTCAAAGTAACTACTGCTATCTCTTCATTCATTCCTGCTGGCTTTCTCTGCCAGGCTTATATGCTATCAAAGAGGACATCTCATCAGCATCACGTGACTTCTGCTGTCTTAACAATTCTTTCTATCATTGTCAGACCGACCATAATGATGGCCATGAAATATCTGTCTCTCACTCATTCTCTCTCACACATACACACAAGTACGCTTATTTGTGCACATACATATTGTTGCGTATCTGCTCGTTTGTTAATTTCTGGTATAAATTGTTTCCGAGGAACTTCAGCGATACAAGTCCTTTCTTAATTAAAACTAGTTTTTCTTTCTCAATACAACTTTGTAATACACAGAATTTCCATAGTCACTTTAAACTTAACAACCTTTATAACACACGCTATAAATCATAGTGATTCACATACTTTACTTACGGTGCCTACTGTTCGCTTGACTCAATTATCTATCTATTCAGCCTATTTGCGGATCGCGCTGGTTTTTCTCGCCAAGCTTATATATATTAAAAAGAGGGCGTCTCGAATGCACTCGGGGCTTCATGATCCTTCTAGAAACTCCAGCGCGCATGCTCCCAGCGTCGCGCGACTTCCGCTGTCGTAACAGTATTATTCATTAAGTGTTCATCTTATCTATTATACAAATATACAAACACAAGCAGTTGGGAAAAGCTAAAGTGAAATAAAGAGGAAGAACAAATTAGAGAAAGTAGTAGCTAAAATTAGCAAAGGATTATGGGATTTAAACAACAATGTAGACACTAAATCTGGATGCTGATTACCGTCAACATCATCATATCAAATCGAGCCCTTGCCTTCAATCATCTAGAGACCACAATTACTGATGCTAAAGACTGTCAACCTCATCGAAGTGAATCGAGCCTCTACCAACAGGAAGAAATTAATTATTGTAATGGCGATGAAAATACTAACCCATCCATATTTTATTTATCGCGAGTAATTGAATGGAGAAAAGTTAAAAGAGACTGGCTTTGCTACTCACAGTCTGTGCTATATGCAAATTGTTTTCAACAGCAATGGAATTTCTTTAGCAACAACTGGTTACTATGACTGGAAACATGCTACAAGTGACATTAGCCAGCACAAAACAAGATCGCTTCATCAAAGTTGCGTCATCAAATTCATTATTCATAAAATCGAAAGTGGACGAATCAAAAAGCAGATGGAGTCAAAGAAAAAATACTGGCACCAAGTCCTAGAGAGTATCCTCTCTGTCATAAAGTTTCTATCCACCAGAGGGCTAGCATTCAGAGAAAATAATGAAGTAGTTGGTTCGGTGCATATTGGAATACTGGAGCTATTGGCTTAGTATGGTGCTTTTCTTGCGGAACACATTCAAAACAATGCAGATAAGGGAAAAGGTCGTGTTTCATACTTATTCTAAACTGTATGTGACGAATTCATAGAAATCCTACACAAAAAAAGTTCTCACCGCCATTATTAAAGCATCCAAGTATTAGTCAGACATATCTCACACGGATCAACTGACAATAATCTTTAGGTAGATTCTAGAGATGGCCGTGGAGAAAGATTTCCACATTCTTTCCAATCAGCGGCGTAGTAAGGGTTTTCAGCACCCGGGGGCA